ACAACATATGTGAATGTTTAAAAAAAAAACAAATAAGTATTCAATGTGGATATTTCAATTGAAAAACAAATACAACAACAATTATCCGTAAAGTACTTACTTAATGTCTGTACTTAACTGAAATACACAGATATGTATATGTATTTGGCTAAGAGCACTAAAAAAAAACAACACAAATGTGAAATTAACTAAATGATGCAAGTACTTAACATTTTTCTTCATAATAAATTTCGTGAATAAAAAGTAAAAAAAAAAAAATTGAAAATTTTTTCGTTTACTTAATGCAGAAAATTCGGGTAAGTAAACTTCAGTAAAAGTACTAGTTTGGAATTACTTCGTACTACAAGCAGGTATATTTCACAACTTTTTTCACAATCATCATTTTTCGTACAGAAATCGACTAGTCCTATACTAGTTCAATCTAGCTAAAAAAGTAACCAGTTTCTTTTTAGGCAAAAACCCTAAGTTTTATTAAAAAAAATATATTTTACAGAAATCGACTAGTCGCATACCAGTTCAAAATGAACATAAAAGTAACTAGTTGGTTTTTAAGCCAAGTAGTGAAGGTTAACCATTTATCGAGTGAATTCTTTGAGGTTATGCTGCAGAAAATGATAAGTGCGACAAAGCTAGGCTAGAAAGTAGTATATTCTAAAAAAAAGGTTCACTAAGCGCTTCGTTTAGACTCAGCAGGTCTGGTAATGCACGGTGACCACACCACGCTCAGCAGCTGGTAATGCTTCGGTTAGTATAGTATGTGGTCCATTATCATAATATCGGATGGAATGTCATTGCGACGGTGAATATCTCAAGCGATGCGAGACATTACAGCCACGCTAGCTAGATTACATCACCCGGATGGATAAAAGCATTCCAGCGCTAAACGTACTCTGCTAGTGGAGAGAGAGGAAGAGAGCCTCTTTCGGACCTCTCAGATTTGGCCGATTTCCAGCAAAAAACTATACACTTTTAGAATATCTAAAGGAAAATACTGAAATCTATGTTGGGGAGTTGAGATTGGATTTCGTGGATTTATTCACCCTCTGATCAGCCGTCGCTTAATTTGATCGATGAACTCGTTTAAATCTTTACCATTACCGGAATCTAACGGATTAAAAACCAGCGTAGTTGCGAAGAATGTCGAGGTCGTCGAGCCGTCGAGCGGCTAGAACTGCTAGTGTCGATAATATTATTAAGGGACACTTCAGGAAGTGGTCGTCGCCTCTAAAGAGGGTATGTGTCTGCATATGTTAGCTTAGACGAAATTATTAGGACCAACTTATATCTCTGCAGGGTCACTATAAGCTGGAAATGAGGTCTGCCTTCTAAATCACTGCTCTGGTGGTATTCCTCGAACTAGCCAAGAAATTCTAGCTCCAAACTAGTACTCTTTTTCCCCAGTTTCAGCATGGTACCTACATACATATGTATGTATATATGTATGTACATAATTTACACAAATTTTCCCACCAGCTGCCGCGCACCACATTCCCCCTTCCTTGGCGCTTAAGGAACGTGACAGTTTTCCGCAACGCTCGTTTGGTCAGTCACCACAGAAACCCGGTACATTGTTGCCGCGCAGATGATAAATTAGGGCATCTTCGTTACCTTACTGTGTCAGCGTCTGCCTCTGTATGTATGTATGTATGCATGTATTGGCGTGCTCTCAAGCCTCCTTCCAATAAATTTCCTAACAATTGCGCAATTTTTCACATAACAAAACAAAAAAAACCAATAACATAAACAATAACAAGATTAAAGCAAAAACAACAACCAAAAAAAAAGCAAGCAAAAACAAAGTGGAAATGATTAAAGGTAAAGAAATGTGCGAAAGAATTCTGCAATGTTGCCCAAGATGAAATGTGCGCTGTGTAGCGGTAAAAGAAAGTAAAGGTGTTAGAAAGGAGGCTGGACGAACGCGACGAATGCCAAGAAACACACATACGAGCGCATGCATACATACAGACATATGTATGTGCGTAGTAATTGCAAGAAATAATTGGAATGTGAAAGTGACGTGGAAGAAGAAGAAGAAGAAGCAGAAAAAATGCAAGCACAAAAACAATGCGCCGGCTTTTTGGGACCCATGTCAGTGAAATAAAATTTAATGAATTTTGAGCGCCGATTGAGCAGATGTTCGGTTCATATTTATTAAGCAATTCTATAGCGGATTTAACTCAATACATACAAACATATGTATGTAAGTGTTGCAATGACACAGAGTTCTACTAACGCAGATATTTAATTTGCTCAGAAGTAAAAAACTAAACTAAGATTAAATGTATGTATGTATGTAAGTGCATGTATGTGTAAGTATGTATGTGTTTAATCTCGCAACAAAATAATAAGAAGGCGAAAGGAATTATGCAACTCGTTAAGGTCTTTAAATACTGTTGATTTTTCTTTTCTCAAGAAGAATGTGGCGCTCTAATGCTGCAGGATGCGATGAAAATATAAAATTAAAAAAAATAAATATTAAAAATTTTCTTAATATGAAGTAAAATTAAATAAAATTTATTTAAGTAAAATAAAGTAAAAATAATAATAATAAAAATAATAAGTTAAACAAGAAATATAATATAAAATTAAAATAAAAAATTTAATTAAATAAGTTAAATAAAAAAAAATATAATATAAAATTAAATAAATAAAATACATTGAAATAAAATATATTTAAATTGAGTAAATTATTAAAATGCAAAATAAATATATTAAATTAAAACGAGTAAAAAAAAAATAAAAAAAGTAAACATAAAATAAAATTAAATAAATTAATACAAAATAAAATATTTTAAAATAAAATAAAATAATTAAAACAAAATAAAATCAAATAATGCAAAACATAATAAAATGAAACTAAATTAAACTTAAAAAACGAATTAAAATAATAAAAATTAAGGTAAACTAATTTGGCTTGCAGCTAAGCTGTTACCAAGAAATGAAATGCCGGGATGCCGTAAAGGGAAGTAAAATAAAATTAAATAAAATAAAATAAAAACAAATAAAATAAAATAAAATAAAATAAAATAAAATAAGATAAAATAAAATAAAAATTAAAACAAAATAAATAAGCAAAATATAATAAAAACTATAGCAAAACAAAATAAAACAAATAAAATATTTTAATACAAAACAGAGAAGTAGATTATAATAAAAAATTTTGCAAAATGAAGTAAAAGAAATTATTTCAACAACAATTTTTTGTAATAATTTAAATTAGAACAATATAAAATAATATAAATATATAAAATTTAAGTTAAGTATTATAGAATAAAACAAAATAAAAGAAATTAAAAACAAAATAAAAAAAGTAAAAAATAATAAAATCAAATAAAGTTAATAACAAAAAAAAAAAAATTAAAAGAAAATAAAACTATTTTAATAAAAAAATTAATTTAAATTTAGTATTTAGTTTATCAATTATAAAAATTATTTAAAAAAAAATTCATGTTAAAAATATAGTAATAAAAAATAATAAAAAATTAAAATTAAGTTAAATAAAATAAGATAAAATAAAATTACCTTAAATTAAGTTAAATTAAATAAAAGGCCATCAATAACTTCCTTAATCAATTTTTCTAATTGCGATTGCCCTCGGCAGGGAATGTCAAGCGCTCGAAGCGTAATTCTGACATGACATGCAAAAAGCTGCTCATAAAAATTCTTCGGCCGTTCGGAGGCGGCTGGATTGCATCGTAAAGAAGAAGAAAAATATAAAAAAAAGATTATTTTCCTTTCTCCTCCAGACGATTACGGCTGTGGGACTCCTGCTAAATCTTCCACAAGACTGCGTAAATGACAAATTAGAACACACAACGTGTATAAGAATTTTGATTTTGGATTGGAGATGAGAGCTTAACTGATCTTTGGCGATCTAATTTTGGTTATAAGAATCTTGTCCCAAGAGGCGTGGAAGTACTAGCGATGGAAGTCAGACGCGCAAGCTCCATTAGTATTGCAATGCCCAACGATTTCCCTTGTGACTTGTTACCCAAATGATTTTTAGTATGAAGTAAGACATCTCAAATATTGTCATTTCTGGTCTTTGTGGCCGAGATCAGCCTATGAACCAGTGATTCCGCTCCTTTCTTAATAGCAACAGCATTCGCCTGAACAACTCGGCAATGTTTGGAAGCACAAGCTCTTGGTCGAAGTCTCAGGAAGAGTTCTTCTATGAATTTGCGATTCATTCGAAAGGAAGTTTAGTTGTTATTGTTAAAATTATTCCCCAAAGTACTTTTCGGGGAATGTTGCGGGAGTGACAGTCCTTGGCCGGATATAATATCCGGGTCGTTCCGGTATAAAGACCCGACTGTCGCGGGAACTATTGGATTTTAGTCGCCTCTTACGACAGGCATGCCTTACTGCGGGCAAATTCTTGAGCCCCTAACCTGCAGGAAATTTAGTGAAACTGTTCGCTCAAGACCTTCAACATAAAATTAGGGCCAAGAAGATCCCTGCACCTGCAATATCCACAAGGAGACAATTTTCGTATCTGTATGGAAAGAAGTCTCGAACTCTTATGCTACTAAAGCTTTGGGCACAACATTAGCAAGGTCACATCTACAGTACAACTCGGTAATTTGGAGCCTGAAATAGGAAATCCGCTCTGATATTCGCATTAGGGTTCTCCATATATAGTGTTCCTACTCTTATTCTGAAATATATTAACCCACGTACATTTGAGGACAAGTAACTATACTTAAGCACACAATTCCTTGTCTTATTTGCCGCAAATCAAATATTTTTACTTCAAATCGCAGTCCTTCTTATCAGTAAGCGCAGGATTTCTAAAATCCTCAACTCTACACTTTCCACCCTTAGAAAATAGCAGGCCAATTACTGCTGCTACCTGAAATGGAGACTTTTTCCCCTTCCTGCACTCTTAAGCATTGAGTACTGCACGAAACGGTGGTGAGTCCATGAGCGCAGGAGCCGAGATGAGCGCTCTGCTCTTATGAGCGTAGCAAAACAATTTTCAGTCGTGTTTTGTGCGCAAAACTGAACGGTTGTGTTTTTATTGGAAAGGTAATAGATAAAAATAATATATAATTTTGAAATAAATAATAAGGCGCCAATTTGCCTTTTACGTGTATACAAAGTGAAAAAATTAAAAACAAAAGCAAATAAAATTTTAAAGAACTGTTCGAAACTCTATAGTTTGAAACGAAAAAACCAGATTTCATACAAGTGTCCTTTTGAGGTAATTATGTGTTAACAATAAGCAAACAATTATATAAGTATATAAATAAATACCCAAAAAAAATAATTAATAATAAATTGAGAAAAATATTAACAAGAAAATAAATTAACAAAAGTATTAAACATAGAAAAAATTATAAAAAATATATGTATATACATGTGCACAGTCTAAAATCGCTGCTCTTTTCAATATATGGAAGCAAAAAGCGCGAACGCCACCCTGCATGGCAAATGACTGCCTTAAAGTACTTAATATATTTATAATAACTGCTAACGAACTGTTTAAAGAACTCTCAAGTGCACTTGAAATCCTAAAAAAAAGCTCTAAATATAATCGATCAACTCGAAACCAATTGAAAGTACCAAAACTGCAAATGCGCATGCACAGCCAGCCAACCACGCGGACCAACCAACCACTTGCCAGCGCCGTACATATAATATATTGCCAGCCGCATGCGCGTGCACTCGAACACTCGAGCTGGCTGAACCAACACTTGAGGCCGCTCAATGCGTACATACATACATACTTATGTACAAATGTACTTAAATGGCGAAAAAAAAATAAAGTATAGAAATAGTGCGCACATTTATTGTATAAGGACGAAAGAGCGAGCAAAAAAAAAAATAAATAAAAAACTAAAAAAAAATTGAATTTGCCACGAAAGGAGGCGAAAATGTTGGAAGCAATAAATATAAAGCACAAGAAATTCGCAAACGACAGCAAAAAACTCGTTTCAATCCTTTTTTTTTTCTCCTTTTAAATATTCCTGTTTCTGTTCACTCGATCTTTATTGTGCTTTTCAACTACACTAGTTTTTAAAGTCGCGCCAAGAATCAGCGCCAAATTCTTCTCACATTTCGCGAATACCAAAGCATGCGATACAAGACAAGAAACGGCATTGGCAGACTCTGACTCTTTGTAAGAAAAAGTAAAAAAAAAAAAAAAATAAATAAAAAAAACAGAAAATCCGGCAGAGTTAATCATTTGTAAAACCAACAACTATTGCTTTTATTTAAAGATTTTTTTTAGCGACGTTTATGCAATACAAATATAGAATTCGCTTTCATTACGCAGCTGGAATTCCGGTTGACTGCGCTGACTGTTGGACACCAAATTTGCATAGACGACGTAGCGCGCCGTTTAATATAAAAGATTTCAAAATTACGCCGTGTTATATACAGTAAATTAAGCAAAAGACGGACAATACTTTAGAGAAACCGTTGGGCAGACAATTGGTTAGGAGCCCCTTGGACGAATGATGGTTAGGGCAGCGGCTTTGTGAGGGCCTGAGAAAAGAACGCAATGCGATCCATTTGTATTTGAGATAATACTATTTTAATTAATATCATTTTGCTTTAACTTATTTTCTTTTAATTAATTCATTTATTTTTTTTTTAATTTTAATTATTTTTAACTTTAATTATTTTAATTAATATAATTTTTTTCTTTTTTTTCTTTTTTTATTTATATATTTTTTCTATCTTTTATTTTTATTTATTTTTTAATATTTCTTGTTTGTTTTACTTTATTTCAATTTTATTTTATTTTACTTTGTTTTACATTAATTCGCTTTATTTTATTTTATTTTAATTTAGTTTATTTTGTTTATTTTACTTTTTTTCTTTTATTTTTATTTTTTTTTTAATATTTCTTTTTTGTTTTACTTTATTTCAATTTTATTTTATTTTACTTTGTTTTAGCTTAATTTGTTTTATTTCATTTTATTTTACTTTAGTTTATTTTATTTTATTTTAAAGAATTCATAAATAATTTCTTTCAATTTAATATATATATTTGAATTATTTTTTATTCTATTTTAAATAATTTTATTTCAATTTGTTTAATTTATTTTATTTTAATTGTTGTTACTTTATTTTTTTTTTTGTTTTATTTCTTTAATTTTGTTTCTTTTTTTTAATCTAATTTAAAACAATTTAATTTTATTTTAATTTAATTTACTTTTTTTATATTTTTTGATTTTTCTTCAATCTATTTTAATTTGTTTTATATTTTTTTTCTTTCTTTTAATTCAATTTATTTTACTTTGAATTTTTTTATTTTATTTTATTTTATGTATTTTATTTTGCTTTAACCTATTTTACTTTATTCTATTCTATTTTTTATTTTTTTTTTTTATATTGTTTTCTTTTCTTTTATTTATTTTATTTTAATTTATTTTATTCAATTTTTTTATTTCATTTTATTTTATTTTATTTTATTTTATTTTATTTTATTTTATTTTATTTTATTTTATTTTATTTTATTTTATGTTTTAATTTTTATTTTATTTTATCTTATTTTATTTTATTTTATTTTATTTTATTTTATTTTATTTTATTTTATTTTATTTTATTTTTTTTTTTACTTCATTTTATTTATTTTATTATTTTTTTTGCTTTAATTATATTAATTCAATCTTATTTTATTATATTTTTGTTCTGTTTTACTTTATCTCTTTTATCGTTTATTTCGTAAATTATTTGTAATGCTTTTACCATTCATTATTAATTATTTTAATTTTTTTACAGTTACGGTTACAGCGCCACTCAACTCAATATGCTCAAGTGGGCTGTTAACGCACCACGTCTCTCATACCTCACAGTTGACAATACGAAAGCTTGCGCCGGTGACTTGCAGCTCGAAGTGAGGAATGAACAAAATGGGACAAGCGCCACGCAAGCGCATACGCCTTCTACGCAACGCGAGAGATTGAAACGTAAATCTTCAGACTTTTACCACTCACGCCGCCTGCAGCATTGGTTGGAAAAAGAGAATGCACTTGAGGTGCAAAATCAAGTGACCTCCACGCCACTTCATGCCAACTCAAAAACACACAGTAGCAGCTGTCCATTGCGACGTCTAAATAGCTTTAAGAACTTATCCAACATCATGGCTGGTGAGAAGACTGAACCCAATACACCACTTAAGCCGTTTGGCGCACAATTTGAGACACCGGGTCACAGTGTCGTGTGTAAGAGCATAAGACATAACGATCCAGCCAACTACGCCGCCACATTGCCCACACTCGAAGTGGAATACTCGCCACCGTGCAGCTTAGTGCCTGGTCCTATATTGGCCTTACGCGGCTTAGGCATTGCAGATACTTACTTCGACAAACCACGTTATCTGCCACCGCAGGAACGCCTGGAGCAGAACCAAACTACGCTGAACCATCAAACAGCGGCAAGTAAAACAGACAACACTCTTCAGAACCACCCCCTCTCGCGACTGCCAAGTATTCAAGACGATGCTGCCAGCCTGAGCTCCTCGAAGATGGGCGATCAGACGTTGGAGCGCATGATCGATGCCATACTGGAGAGCACAATGAAAGAGAAGCGCTCTATGAAGTTCATAAGACATGCGAATTGTGCACAGAGTGGCGTAATGTCGCCCACATACACGCCAGCTGAAGATCCCGCCAATGATTTGTGTGAGTTTTGGTCTAACGCGCAGCGAGCGCCAACAGCTGCGCAGACACAGCCAATGCGTAAAAAGCGCTTTTCACTACCAGTGAATGTTGGCTCAGCGCAAGAGTTTAGCGAACGAGAAGTGCGTTCGCCACACGGCGCAGCGCAACGTCTGCGTCGTCTACAGGCAGGCAGTTATCTACATTTGCGTCGTCAACGCGCGGTGCGTCGTAAGAGAAAAACCTCCAAGAGTAGCGGCAAATCGACAAAGACACAACGGCACGTTGATACAGCAGCGCCGCCTGCAGATTTGGCGGAGAGCAAAACCATTGAGAATCCAAGCCCGGATAGTGGACACAACTCCTGCAGTGAACTAGATGACAACTCCAGCGCGCTTGAGGACGTATGCTTGCCGCTCGCGAGCACACTGGACAGCAGCGACTGGCGCACATTGGATGCGACCAAGCGACGACTGAGCTTTTCCAACAAAACTTTAACGAATGGCCGCACATGATCCCAAGTGGTCAGCCAAGAGAAAGCCTTATTAGTTACTTACAAGCGTTGATAAAATTTTGTTGCCTAATTTTTTCTTTTTTTTTTTTGTACTAAGTTTCACATTTCATTTAACAAAAGCAAATGAAGTAATAAAACTTATAATTTTCGTTGTAAAAAAATGTTATTGTAATTTATTTCATCGTCTAGTTGGGCTTGGTGAGTGCACACAATTACTGGTGGTTTGATAGTTAATGGTGTATACCATGCAGCGAAATTGCAAGTGGTTTCAAAAAGTACTAGTTCAATTTTTGTCTAAAATTATACTAGTCCGAAAAAGTACAAAACTGTTCCCTGTTGCAAAACTAAGCATTCATTTTCACTTTCATTTTTTTAACAACTTTTTAAACCTACAATAACTAATTTTGGTTCAAAATTGCACTGGTCCATATGTAACTAGTAGGCATTTTTCGTGAAAAAAATTTGGCAGTTGCCACGATAAACTTGTATGAAAGAAATAACAATTCCATTTGGTTCAAAATCATACTGGTCCATTTGTAACTAGTATGCGCCTAGTTTGTTTCTGAAAAAAAATTTGGCGAATTCCCAAAAAAAAATTCATTCCATAAAAAAGAACATTAAGTGAACTACTTCAGCTTGCTTGACACACTACTTAGTTGCGTAGTTGCAGTTAACTACTCCATTTGACTGCTGGGTAAAAGTAAAAAAAAATATGCAAATAACTTATAAACTATGTGGGCACATACATACACATTATTCTACTACCGTATGAAAATAATTTATGCAATTTCTTATTTTTTATTTTTACCTTTTTTTTGAAATTTCTACAAACTCCGCTGTCACTGCAATACACTTTGCACACGGGGTAGTTCTCCAGTACATATGTACATATAGTATGTACATATGTCTATCTATTAGCTTGCTGCATTTAGAATATTACACTGGTGAGTGGCTAACAAGTGGTCATAGACCATGACTAAGTTATGCGTGAGTTCATAGAAAGGCCAAACATATGAAATTGGACTCCGCTGGTGGTGTCATATGGAAATTAACAGTAAGAACACGGACGCCGGTGTATCAAACTTTAAGTGCATATATGTACATATGTGGTTACAATGCTACAAGTATGGGAAATTTAAATTTCGCAAGTCTATAAGATCAGGGCGCAGCTGCCGCTTGAATATTCATTTCCGTTGTTAATACCACTTTAAATTGTCCGAGTTGTTTTTGTTAGATAGAGGAACACATGTACATACATATACACACTCAAGAGAGCAAGTGTTCCCCATTACAGCTACAAAATAAATATACATATCCGTTAATAATCTTTTCGGTGTCAAATATCAACTTGAGCGCTAATATTCCCTTTAACTGTAATGAAAACCCAAAAAATCTCAAAATTGGTTTGAGTTCTAAATTTGTTTTTATTTTTTGAATTAATTTTTTTTTTAATTTTTATTTTCTTTTTTTTTTTAATTTCCTAAAAAAATTGTTTACCTTTTTTATTATTTTTTTTTATCTGGCTTAAGGGGATCGCTTGTTTATAGTTAAGTCGACAAGAGCATGCCGCTGATGTCTATGCTTCTGGGCGTCAATTGAAGACAGCAAATAATTCCCAGCTCCTCTCCATGCCAAACTTCTAGCGTAGAGTAGAGACCTCCGCCTTATTTCACCGACACCACTGGCTTGTTGGCTACGGGCAGCGCTATCCTGCTTACTTATTTTCCTACTACCAGTGAGCATTGTAATCGAGCTCTTTCAAAGCTATAGAGTTAACGTCCATCCGAGCAACATTGTCTAGCCACTGAACTAATATCAGCATAGCGGTAAACTTACCTAAAACAGTGGAAACTCCCCAACACAAAATGTTGAATTTCGCTGACTTCCCGGCTAAGTGGCTCGTCCTCCCCACTTTAAAAGAGATCTCGTAGTGGCAGATTGAATTTTATGACGCTTCTGCCATTTTTAGCTACTTTTTCCTTCATGACGAGAAAGTTTCCATGCTCAGGCAGCGCTCATAAGTACGTTCCAAGCGCATATGGAATGTATTTTTGGTCACTTCATTCTTCTCTTCTGTCGATAACTTAAAGAACCTCACTTTGAACTAAACTAAACGTTCGTGTAATGCGCGGAACGACAACCGTCCAACGCAGCTCCTGCATGTTTCGAAGTCCATAAAAATCATCTTTGGTTTAAATTAATCGTGTTTCAGCGACACCTACACCTAAAGAGACCAGTTATTCCCAATACATGTCATCCAATCGTAGTTTTTAGTACATTTGCCGCAGTTGTCATCAAAATTGGGTTTTTTAAAAAGATGTTGGAAGCCTTGCTCATAACCGCATTGCATGAGTAGTTTTCTTTTGTGTCTCAACACACCGAATTATATATCAAGGTGCTTACTTCAAGACCGACACCAGTTAGCAACTGGATCTTTGGTAAATAGATGTTGAAATAGGACGTCAGTTGTCTGAGAAGCTACTGCGAAACTGGCAGCCACACCACTGGCTAACAGACGCAGTCGTAAGACTTCAGCGAAGCCTTAAGAGGTAAATAACGATGTAGCTCTTTCTTAGATTGCTATCCCTCAGACTAAAAGCGTCACACGAGTTGGTTATCACGTCTTCCTGAAGGGTTGCGACGCAAGTCTTCGAATGAGTCAATTCCTGCTCCAGAGTTGCGGGCTAAGACTTCATATTAGTTATTAACTTGTCTTCCTAAATAGTTACGACCCAAAACTTCAAATAAACAAGATTCTCCTCAAGAGTTACTGCCCAAAACTTCAAATGAGTTAGTAACTGACTCTTCGAATGAAGTTACGATCTAAGGCTTTAGTTCAAACTGGTTCTTCCTAAAGAGTTGCGGCCCAAGGCTTCAAATGTGTTAGTTCTTCCTCAATAGTTGCAAGCCAAGATTTCTAATGAGTTAATTCCTCCTCAAAAGTAACTACCGAAGGCTTCAAATGAGTTAATTCCTCGTCAAGAGTTTCGGGCCAAAACTTCAAATGAGTTATTAACTGGCTCTTCGTAGAGAGTTACGATACAAGACTTCAAATAAACAAGATTCTCCTCAAGAGTTACTGCCCAAGACTTGAAATGAGTTAGCAACTGACTCTTCGAAAGAAGTTACGACCCAAGGCTTCAGTTCAAACTTGCTCTTCTTAAAGAGTTGCGACCCAAGGCTTCTAATGAGTTAGGTCTTCCTCAATAGTTGCGAGCCAAGATTTCTAATGAGTTAATTCCACCTCAAGAGTAACTACCGAAGGCTTCAAATGAGTTAATTCCTCCGGAAGAGTTGCGAGCCAAAACTTCAACTGAGTTATTAACCGGCTCTTCGTAGAGAGCTTCAAATTGCCGGTTTTCACGAAATCCCAGGCTTTCCTTTAGATAATATTGGGCAATTTTTTGCTGCGTCTTGGCAGCTGCGCTGACGTCATGTCGAAAATGCGACACAAAACTAATGAAGAAGCTACGAGAAGGCTCATAAGGTAGCCAGATATGTATGTATGTATGTATGCATACCCACAGGTATACTTAGGTAGCGTCCTTTAAGGATATTCAACAATACACGCCGAAGGAGTCCTTCAATGAAAATCAACACGTCAAAGTAAATCAGGAAAATAAAAACAGGAGCAGACATACACGCATACAAACATATAAACATACATATGTATATATAATATATGGGAGTATAAAAGAGCGCTATCATACAGACATACATACATATGTATGTACACATCATGAAATAACTGACGTAAGCACACACATCTTGCAGTTACACCTTTGCCTTGTGCGTACACAAGTTGATATGTACGAGTATGTGTGTACACGTATTTTTGTTTGTTTGCATGTATCGTGCTATACATTTATAAATTTGCGCCAAAAATTGCCAAGATGTTAATTTCAGCGACATAACATATGCCACGCCAGCGGAAATGGCAAAAGAAATACGCGTTTATGTGACAAAGGACCAGAAGGACATCTGTCGCCAGCCGAGGCACGAGTCAAGCGCCGGCGGCAGCAGCAAGAGCGGCTGGAGTGGAAGTATGCTACAGTACAACAGTGTATGTATATACATATGTATATATATCAGCTGATGCGGGTGGTTGCCTCCACAAATTACATTACTCACTTCAAACGAGGACGAGAACGAGAACGAGGACTGAAGTTTCAGCAATTTTGCTCTAAATGAATTGCTTGAAGTGCATTTAATGGGCCAAAGCCGTAGGCGTACGTATTATACATACATACATACATACATACTTACATATGTACATGTTTTTGAAAAACCATTTAACATGCATTCACTCATTTTCAAGTGCTCCACGCCAACGCCGCGCCCGCTCCTTTAATCATATGACATACATAGGTATGTACGTTTGTATGTGTGCCTCCTCCACGCGACTGTTGCTTTGTGCGATGTAAAGGATTGTTGGGACTATAGAACAATTTTGAAAAGAAAAAAAATGCAGCGCTCTCAATAAAGTTGGTATTCACACAAAATAAATTAAAAAAAAAAAAAAAATTATACACACATACAAAAACAATTTTGTGAAAAGAATTTAATGTAGCAAATCGAATCGAATTTATTTATCCATTTCCTTTGGGTTTATTTTTATTAATATTGTATTATATGAGGTGGACTAAAAGGATTTAAAGGATTATCTGTATTTATGTATATACATATATATGTATATATGTATATTTCTATAAACGATTCATTAGAAATCAGAGCACATTTCGCGCATAAACGCCTAAAAACACTCCTAAATATACATACATACAAACGTATATACATATATATACCCATATGTACATACACACATATATGACATCTGCATTAGAAATGACAATTTCAACGCGCAACAACAAAAAAATTGATCGATTACTTTACATTATTGAATGTAAATATGTAAATATGTCTGTGTGCACAAAGAATAATCAATTATTTGTATATATGTAAGTACACTTGTGAGAAAAATTAGAGTAGCAAGCTAAGTAAGGAAGTAAGAAAGTTGCTTTTTTGATGGATTCTTGACCGAAAACCTCGGCGGGGAATGTCAACCCTTCCGA